GGGTGTCCATGGGCCTAATTAGCTCAGCTTCTAGCGGAGTTCTTGCCGTTTTTCACATTTTGAAAGTAGCGCAGCCTCAAAAATCGCCTTCCGGATCGTCCGACACATTTGAGAGGTCATAGCCTTATTTTATCGCGGAACAAGCTTGTTGCCTTTTAACTCTCCCTCGCACACACAGGTACACCAGGAGAGACCTGGTGAAGTCAGGGTATAGCACAGGGAGAGGGGTGGGGGAGCATACCCAATCAGCATGAAACGGAAAAATCTGCATAAGTCAGAGGAAGTCAACCATTGGGAAAATCCGCAGAAGTCAGAGGAAATCAACTATCGGGAAAAATCCTCTCGCTGTCCAGGTAGGACCCCTTATTGAGCGAACAAGTACGACCCCTCCTGATGGGACTCTACCAACGATGCTGTACCCTGGGAGAAATGCTACGGTTAGCCTTGAGAATCATTCTCGATAAATAACTCGCTTTGATCTACAGACAGAGAGTTTCGGTCCCAACAGCCGCTCTGAACGTTGAGATACTCGTTCAAAATTGGGTACCGGTTGAATTCGAGGGACTTACCTTTCATCATCTTATTTTGATAGTCCTGCTCCTTCAGAACTCCATCATCACTTTTTGTTGCAAATGCCATTCTGTGTGCAAGAAGAACTATGACGTAGTGCCGCTCGCTTGCAGTCCGTATCACGGAGTCTTGGGAGGGTGTGCCCATGGACAGTTATGAGCGCATCACTAGCTTAGTATATCTGGTATACTACCGGTGTGGAGCGCTACGTCAAGGTAGAAACGTAGACACCGAGACTTGAAAGCGAGAACATTGCACAAATACGAACTGCCTCCGCGCTCGCAACTAAGTCCGTGGACACGCCTCTTCTGACAGTGTGATATGACCTATAAGAGCTCTGAGACTGTACAGCACATAATCCCAAAAAACCTCTAATGGCATGCAGTTAAGGTTGGAAGACGTTGTTTGGCACACTGCGTGCGGTTCGTACTTCCGAAGTCGATGACGCCAGTGTGCATTGGACGGTGCTCGACGTGATAGGGGCCTATCTTCGCATCGATAAATAGTCAGTACTTTTTCTGTTGTTTGATGCTTGATACCCACTAACTGATCTGGATAGTGGATCCATCACAAAAAATTTGCACAAATTGGCTTAGACACGCTTGTATCGCTTCAGCAACGGGCGTGAGCGCTGTAAAGTAATCCTTGGAGACGACTCGATCCCTCGAATAGCACAGGCTCAGCGGCTCCTATATGGGAGGAGATAGGAGGGCTAGCTCTTACTTTTCTCCTAGCATGACGAAGCGCATCCAATTGGGGGGATAGCGAGTATAGTCTGACCCGCCCATATGATCAGCATGTCGTCTCTATGATGCAAGTAACACACATAAGCTCAGCACTGGGTAGTGGAAAGCTGCATAACTTTCATGGACATCAAGATGTCAGACTGGGCGCTGAGTTTGGCGCGATGCCAGCCCTTTCCCACCACTCACTGAAGGCTCGTTCACCCCTCTTTGAAGGCCCGAAGCTGCAACAGTTGATGGAAAACGGGCTTCAGTGATAGTGACGGTAAAAGAGATACAGAGGCTCAGTACGGTCTAGTATTCCTATGTAAGGGGGGGAGATGGGGAGAGTCGAAAGAGCTAACGCACCCGCCCATTATAGCCTTGTTTGTTCCGTAGAAGTTTGTTTCACTGTAATTGGTATCCCAAAGCCTATCAGAGCCCATTAACGCCACCTTTGCAGTTCTGTACTGTCATGGTCACTCCCGGACTGTATGCCGTGCATCATACACTTCCTGCAAGCTGCTCAATCGTCTCAGGATCCCAAGGAGATTGGCACGGCCGAGGAATCGAAGCGAGTCGACGATCAGCTGAGTGAGGCGGCTCTCCGCCTCGTCGAACCCACCTATACAGTCATCTTGAATATGTTCAAGTCACCGCACATCGCAAATCCGAATCTCCTCCACAGGTAAGGAAGTCGCTCACGTGGTTGTCTTGTGAAGGTTGAAGGGCCATTCTGCCCTTCTAAACCTTTTAGAGGTTAGAAGGCTCACAAATAGTGCTGAACGCTCGATCACATCTCTTTACGTTCTCCATTAAAGGGCAGAATTGCGCAGCGGATGCTTTGATCAGGTGGAATGTCCAGAGTTGTCTCCATTCACGCTGCTGTCAGCTTCTCTCGATCCTGCGCAGTTCCCGCTTGAAGACGGCGATCCGTCGCCATTGCAGCTGGATGCAGGTCTTGAAGGTACGTTCTTTCACTTGGATTGTTGGCTCTCCGAGAGGAATTGACCGAGTGCGGTGGAAATGTAGCCCGGGATAGGTCGGCTCAGAAGACTGAGGGGGCCAAATACTCCCAGGCAAAAGTGTAATTAGGATGGTGTTCCTTTCACAAACAGTTCACCAGCTCGAGAACGGTTCACCCCGTCGATAGCCTTCTCTTCAGAAGTATTCAAAATTCATCGTACTGTATTTGTAGCTGATCTGGCCACCTTCATTCCGAGCACAGAAAACTCTTTTCAGTACCTCCTGGCGAGCTGCCGTGGTTGGATCTGCTGCCGTCTGAGCTGGCGTCACTGGAATTGCTTCTATCGTTCGTCGAACATCTTGCTGGCGCTCTCGTCACTGCCCCCTCTTGTCTTCAATCTCCTCTACTTTTCTCCATTCAGAAGCTGATCAATTCTATCAAGGATGGCGGGTTTGGTGAGGATAAACATCATCTTTTTATTATAATGCTGGTCATAGTTATGCTACCGCACTCACACAAATTTCTATTAGGAACTCGCTTAAAGCCAATCCATGAGTTAGGATTTGAATTCCATCCTGAGGCTTTCCCTAGTTGTAGCTCAAAGCACACTCCACACTGACCATAGGGGCGGATTCAGTCCCACCAATGTCCTTCTTCATTGGCGCTCTCATTTCTTAGAGGGAAACTGCGCATCAATGTCTAAGGCACAATTGAGCCTCAGTTAGCCCTGCAAGTAGTGTGGGCTGTGCCTGAACTACAAACGCCTCCGATGCAGACGCTGGGGCGATCAGGGTTCTACGGGGGAGGGCAAGGAGGGGCAGGGTATGGCGCGGCATCAGCCCATTCTCCGACAACTGTTGAGAGGGCGACCTTAAACAATCGGTGGAGTATGGGCTCGCGCCGTGCCAAACCCAAACCGCTGACATGCCCCGCGCCAGCAGCGAAACCACTCTGAGAGCTCTTATAGAAATATGTCGACGAATCTAGCCCCTTAACAGTTGACGATAGAGCGTCCACGAAATGTAAAAAGCTTATTGCAGGGCTGAAAACGGCGTGCTTCTGCTTGTCAACTCTTCTTCTTCCACACGTACAGAAATGGATCCGACGGAGCGACACGGAAAAGGCTGAAAACGGCCGCAGCGATGCGAACCTTCGTCAGGCCGTCGTAATTTTACTCAAATGCGTCGTCGATATCCTCGCTCATGACCAAGGTACGCCAACTTTTCTAGAGACAAGGGCAGTTGGTGGGGCCGTGTGTCGGCGCTACTACGCTACGTCTTACTTTTCTGTCTGCGTCCTCTCATCAAACTTTGAAAGGACGTCGCAAGGCAGTAGGATAAAGAGACATCACGTGCTGTAGTCACCCCTCCATATGACCTCGTTAGCTACTTGGGCTCTTTTCCTACTAATTCTTTCCTTAAAACTTACCTAGACCCTCCACTCGCGGCCTGTTTACCAGTTGTAATAAAATATCCCAGTTTTCAGCGTCGTGGCACAGTCGACTTCTGTTGGACATTTGCCGGATAGCGACCGACTGTACGTCTCAAACAGGAGATCTGCCACGGGTTGGCACGGCATGTCTGCGACATGTCGCCGCCGTCGCTCCTCATTTCACGAATGAACAGTGGACGATACTCGCCAAATCCGTCTGGGATGCCACGTACGATATTCTTACTTTTTACATAGCGCAACGTCTGTCCCGGCCTGTGTCCGGAATCCGGCACCACTCGCAAACTCTCCTAGAAACCGGTCAAGATTTTGATGGGTGGACCTTACAGTTGGGAGGGAGGGGCAGCCAGGTATCCAGCAGCTGTTGAAGCGGGCACCCCGTCAAACCCAGCCCCTCCCCTCAACACGCCCAGCATTTGCAGCAAAAACGACTATAATTAGGTCCCAGAACTCCCCAAAGAT